GTGTGTACATATATCAAAACTGTATATTTAGCCACGAATCAAATCATTTCAAAGTTGTACTATAAAGGCAAATTTGAGCCATCTGACTCGGAATGTGTTTGTGATTAGAGATGCCAAAAATATGTTTCAAGAGAACAGAGAGAGTAACATGCGTGCTTTCCAGCCCACACAGTCATATTGCCTGCTGCGCCGCACACTTGTGCACCTCTCTCTGTTCTGACATAAGAGAGACAGTGTCTCTGTGTCTCTCAGGCTTTGACTGTTGGATACAGCTTTGTTGGACAGGATATGGGAGTTCAATATGCTCATTTGCGCTCACGCCAATTTGCACTTTTGTTTGATCTCGCACAACAGGGTCCATTTATGTATATGTAGGTACATATTTTTGAATCTGTCCAGTTTGGCCCTCCTATTACTTCTCATTTTGTGTTTCTTTTAGACTCTTTTTTTTAAAAAAAATTCCATTATTTTTTTTTATACAGCACGTTAGATGGCTTTAATTTTATTTGTACAGTTAAATGACTTAATGGAAATCCAAGGTTTGCATACCGCAGCAGCAGACTTCATCAGACGCCTCTGTCAAATACTAATTTGAGTCAAATGCTGTCAAATGCTCCAGTCTCCTTAGTTAATGTAAATGCCAGCAGATAATCAACAAATGGTGCTGCGTTATCATATCCCCAGCAGTAAAAGCTCACAGCTGCCAGATGACACTGACACAATCATGCTCCGGTATCCAGAGAAGGGTGACGTCAGTGTCAACATCGGCGAGAGAGCGGGGTGTCTGAGACCTTCTTTAGTAATCTCTGTGCACACAAGGCTCAGATAGGGCTCCCCACGGTGCTGCCCAGACTCCCCAGACTGTGGATTTAATTAAACAGTGTGAAATTAATTAATCAGTGGGGTGGCAGGTAAAAGGACTTCTCACTGGAACTGCTCACACAACCAAGACAAGCATTTCATGTGCGCTGACAGTTATTAATTTGCAGTATGTTTTATTATAGTTTTTCTATATAGAGATGCTGAAATTCTGGGAGATTAAAAAGCTTGGCATGGGAAAAAAGTCATGCAAATTATCAAAATAACAGCTCCCGAAAATCAAAGTGTAAACCTGTGTTTGATCTGTTCTATCAATTAATTAAAAATTTCAGTTCTGTATAATAATGTGGTGCAAATTAGATGGAAATGAGATAAAATATTCATTTAGTTATCTGGGGAATCTGCCTGGAGAGCTTTTTAGTCTTCAGTCTGGCTCAAAATGCTGTCCATATGGCAATTATGTACAGTAGTGTTGCAGGAGGATTGGTCTGATGCCTACTGGCAGAGAGGAGCCTGCCTGTGACAAACTGCTGCTAGGATCTGATGTGAGTTGAGGGAGATAATGAGGCTGTTGTAAGCCTTAAGTATAGAGCCTGCCCCCGGGGTGGCATATCTAAGGGCTCAGGCTCCCTCATTGTTGCACGTGCTGCTGAGGATTAAAAACACATTTACTTTTTTCCTCATAAACTTTGTCAGTACTTCCCACAACTCTTTGGACAACTTCTGCTTTCATGTGGCAAGCCTCTTGACATTGCTTTGTGGAGGAGCCGTTTTTTTTTTTTTTTCCCTTACAGTTTGTAGATGTGAAGTCTTGATTTGATTCTGCTTTGAGCTATCTATAGCTCTTTTTAAGCACCCCACCAGAGGACGTGTACGTTCTGGGGTACATCCTACGGTGACTGAAGTCTTCACAAATGCTGTATTTTGATAGAAATTCTTTTAATATTGATCCCATCAGGCATGGCATGGCTTTTTAAATTAAATTTAACCGTCAGAGTAAAAAAAAAAAAAAAACACACATGCTGATATGGGTGAGGAAGTGTAATTTACACAGGAAGTGCAATTTGTAAATTTACAATTTACAAATTGCTATTTTTGTATATGTGGTTACATTTACATTACTGAGGGAGCCCATGCCTGCTGTGTTGTAAAGATAACTGTCCACCTCTCGTGAGGAACTCTTGACATTCACTGCAGGCTGGATGCCTCCACCTCACTAACTGTCACATATACAGTGTGTCCCCAAGAAAACAATGGTGCAAATTCCAGCACTGTGTCCAATTTAGACCTACACCACACTACAGGTTCTCTATTTGAGTGTAACAAGGACACCATGCAACCAAGTGCAATACACAGGAAAAAAAATCCCTGCAGTGTGTGCAGAGTAATTGAGTCACTCGGGAGAATTGCTATAATGTTTCATAAAGTGTTATTCAAGGAATGCAGGTAAGTCTATAGACAATATTTACAGTCTTAACTCAGTGAAATAAACAAGACAGACTTCCTTACACAATAGCAGCAGGCATTTAATTAATGGCCATTAGGGGCTTGCATACTAAGCAGGAGGGTGAGAGAGAGATACAGAGAGGGAGATACAGAGAGAGGGAGAGGGAGTCAAGCGGACACTCCAGCCAATGGCAAGGAAACTTCAGAGAGACCTGCAAATGGCAGGCAGAGTCAGACTACTGGGCAGAGCTGCAAGTGGTCACTCAACCATGGGATTAAAAAGCATTTAAGCCTTGTACCAGCACCTCCTCCTCCTTCTCCTCACCCAGCCATGTTATTTCTGGCCATTCAGGAGAAAAGAAAAGACAAATGTTGGGTGCCTGGGTTGTTATTGCCGGTGCAAAACTGCAGGGTTACAGGTTCTTCACGACGCCAGCATCTATAAATGTATTGCAGTGCTTTCTTGCAGAAAAACATAATGAGCTAGCCTAAAAGGGTTTCTGTGTTCTGGTTAAGGTGCAAAATGGACTGTCACTACTGTTTATTTCATTCATGTCTGGGTGTAATGGAAAAACATGCAATCAAATGTAGGACACGTTTACCAGAGTGGTTCACTTCACACTTCTATTCACACTTCTAATGCCTCTTGGGCAACAACGGGCAAATTTATGACAGGCTATTGACGTATTTATGGACAGCTCTAGTGACTGCATGAGCTTGATTAGCACAAATCCATGCCGCAAAATAAAACAGCAGCTAAGGTACCCCAAATGTGTTGTGGTGAGTGTTGGTGCCAAGAGGATGTTGGTGAAAAAAGCTTTTGATTCAGTGGTCACCAGAGTACCACAGACCCCTGCCTGACTGTGCTTGTTTTGATGGGCAATGATGAAAGCACAGGTGGATGCGAGAAAGCTCCCCTCCCTCGGCCGCGGCGGACTCCTCTTCTGTGGTTTCCTATTAGCACAAGAGTGGAGGTTTGCAGTCTGGCTGCTGGGCACAGTGGGTCAGTGCTCACAAAGCTCTGTTTGTTCCCTGGCCTGCAGGGCTCCCAGGGTAAGCTTGGCTCCAGAGGGGAGACAAACAAAAAGACACCACTGTCTCACACACTGAAGCTGCTCTCCAACACATTCGTCTTTTCTACTCAATGGGGGTACATTTCTCTTCTTAGGAGAGGAATGGCAAAAGGAAACACGTTTTTTAAAAAAAAAACAAAAAAAAAACAGGGCCTCAGGATAACAAAACTGCTGTTGTTCTGAGCTATGTATTTTTTCTCAGTTTAAATGCCATTTTGAGTTGTTGCTTGTGGTGATATGTTTTTTTTTTTTTGCTTTTTTTTTTTTGCTTTTTTGCTTTGTGTTTTTCATCTCCTTTTGTCTAGCTTAGACTCAGAGCTCTTTGTCTTGTGTTGCTGTATCAACAAATTCTGAGTGAAACCCAAGGAAACCGCCGACAGCAACAGGCACATAACACATCGTATTTAAATTTCAGCTGCAGTTACTAACTTTAGAGATTACAGCAGAGTCCCGTTGAACCACAGACGGTGTGGTGAAGATACAAAAAAAAGGCACCTCAATTAATTCATAATTTCAAGGTATCTCTTACGTCCACATATGCACTGTCTGTCTGTGATTTCTAAAGATGAAATATTGTGCAGGGTGCTTTTACAGCTGCTGTCAGGTCAGACATTCACTGTTGTGCTGCAATCTGCAGTCCAAGTATAACTCCATTATTGAGGGGACTTTAAAATGGGAGCTATGTGACACACAGCGGGATGATTTAGTTTAATGACCATGGCAGTGACAGTGCTGTGATGGAAATTGGACTCCCCCTGCAAATTTACATCACTTGAGGGTACTTGGGGCTCTTTTAGCGGCTGCACTCCAGAGCACGAGCCATCAGGAGGTCCTGGATATGTCATGCTTGTCACCTTCCTTTAAGTGCATCTGCAGACGTGGGAGAGGGATTAATATTATATAGCCTACGGAAGCACAGAGGCCGTCTTATCAGCACTGCAGATGTGATAAGCACCTCTACCCCCATGAAAACCAGGAAAGATCTCCAAGCAAAGAGACAAGCATCTCTTTGTGTTGTTTGCTCACACTGCTTCAGAGTTTCAATGCAGCTTTAGTGGCAGATATGGTGCAATTTCACATCTGTTGTAATTTGATGTGCCTGGATCACCCTCTGTGAAATCGTCTTGATCGCAACATGGCTCCTTTCAATTATTTAGAAAGTTGGCATATGGCTTTAGAGATCGTAATCTGATTTCTTTTGATTTTGAGGTATTCAGAATAGCCTACACCACAAGCCCCAATAACAGCTGTGCAAAAAAGCCTGTCTCTATGATCATGTTATTTGGTAGCTTAGCATCCACACTCCTCTCTTTTCACAGAAAAAAAATAAAATATAGATTTATTTATTTATTTATTTAATAAAAACGTCACTTTTATGGAAATATTTTCCATCATTGCCATGACACTCATCTCACATTAGTTCACACCAATGCAGATGTCAGTGTGCACAAATTGCATTGCCCTCAAACTGATTCTGAGCTGTGAATGGAAGTTATGGCAACCATTGCTGTCACTTCAGTTTTATCAGAAAAGCACCCAGTGGAACCATGGAAACAAGATGTGACACAAAAAAACATCGACATCAAAGCCAGCATATACTGTAATTAGAATTTATTGAAGCCTACTCAGTCAGAAAAGGTACATGATCTGCTGAGCCTCTGGATTCAGTCCCATACCTTCCATTAAACATAGTACAGCGCATTAAGCTTTGGTATTACATGATGCAAAAATGAATGTGTTCATTTGTGAGTCTGTTGCTGCAAATAGGAAAATGGCATTTATGTATTCCAGGTTTACTGTATGTAAAGAAGTAGCCTACAAAGGGAAATGACCTGTTAAATATTTCATCTGGATGAGAATTATAGTATAATATCCATAGTATATTAGGGGTCTAAGAACATACTGATACACTTGAATATCAGGACATTATATTTTGAAATACTACTGTATATCAAATCTGAAAAACACTATCAATTTTTAATTGCTACAATTTTTTAGTTCCTTAATTTCTTTACCTTAAGGATCCTGCAAGCACTTTAATACATTTATTTATTTATATTTTTCTAATGTAGGCAAATGTTAAAGCAATATTTTACTGCTGGAAAGAAGGTCTTTTAAAAAAAATGGCTTTCTATGCAGTAGAAAGATGCAAATTCCTTTGAAATTGGTGCGTGCGACCAGAGAAAACTGAGGAAAAGGAATATGGCATTTGCTTTTACTCAAGAGGCAAAAAACCTATGATTACCAGAATGCACTGCACCCACAGGCAACAAATAGAGTCCACCAGGGATGATGTTAAATAATCTCAAATATCAGTTAAACAGTAAGTAAATATGTTTCTGAAAACATTTTAGCTGAGAAATAGGCAACACAGTAACTGAATCTTGGTTCATATTTTATCAGCACTGCTTAGTTTTACTGTTTGATCAATACAGGAATCAGTATGGTGGCCACTTCCTGATCACATATTCTTACGTAACAGCCAAACATTCCACTGAAATATGTTTCTGAGGATATTTTAAGCGAAAAATAGGCAACACAGCAACCGAATTTTGGTTGATATTTGCTGCTTAGTTTTACCATTTGGTCTGAGTTTCAGAGTAACAAGTGGGTGTCTCTCTTGAGCCACTTCTATACTCTTTGTGTCTGTGGTGGCCATGGATGTATACACTGGCATATAAAACTCCCAAAAACGGAAGTACAATCTGTATTATTTTGGTTCCAGCTAGCAACGTGGAGAGGAGCACAGAGATCTGGATGCAAATTTAATTAATGAGAATAAGATGGTGAAGGAATGGCCCACCTTACTCTGCCTTACCCTGACATTCTTCCCCTAACCTTTACCAATCCCACTTCTATTGCCTAAATGTAACAAATCCAACCACCAAAGGCAAAAAGTACTAGCCAGTCATAGGGAGAGTAGGGCAGGTCATTCCTTCACCATCCTACGATTTGCAAATTTGCTATCTGGGCACTGGTAAGATACTCAGACACTCAGTTCCCACATTGGTATGATACAAAGCTGGTTGAAATTCTTTTGCTCTGATTCCACAAAAAGTAGTGCTATGATGTTGAATGTTGCAGGGACTGATAAATGCAAGTACAGATCCCACTGTTCATATGGTGGTCTGTTTTTTATACTATGTTTTCCAAAAACAGATTTATATGTTGCAATATATTGAATTGTAACCCCTGTATCGTGATACATGCAGCCCTATAGTATAGTGTAGGTATTATAGTATAGATAATCACACATCATGATCTGCATTTCATGCTAACAGCTTTCTGAATGTATTTACAGTCAAACTCAGGAAATAAATATCTGCATGAACAACTGCGTAGAAGCAGAAAGTTTAGAGACCTCAGGGGTCTTTGGAGAAAAAACAGAAGAGGATATGTTATCTCACAAGTGTAGCGTGATTTCTTACACAACACCTAAAATGCGTGCCACCCACCAGCGACAGGGCATAATGACTCTGCAAGCTACCTGGCATCCTCTGTAGTTGTAGGGCCAGGGCCAGTAGCCACGCAGAGGCTCGCATATTCTCTGACAGTGAGTGTAGCTGCGTTGGCATTCTGAGCAGCAGATCCCCTGGTGGTCTAACATGGTGTCAAAGGTCAGGGCTCCTTCCTCTCCGGCCGCTCCGCTGCGCTGCAGTTTTGAAACAATGTTAATATGAAGAGCAATCTTTTTTTTTCTTTTTCTTTTTTTTATCTATACTCATTTGCAATTCAGATGTTTTCAAAAACTTCCCATCCCCCTGATCATGTGACTTCACTTCTCTTAGGCGGCATGAATTTTTATAACCGATGGGAATTTTCACTTCAGTTCATAAGTTCATCAACTTGGAATTGCAGCTGTTACCCCAGTGACCTGTAATCATAGCCACTAATATGATACCTACTCAACAGCAGTGGCAGTATATCAGCTGGCAGAGGCACTTAATCCAGGTTAACACATTCCCACACTATGCACTTCTATTTCTGTGAAAATACATTTTTTAACAAGGCTGGCATCTTGTGCCTGCTGTAGTGCAGTCATCTGAAAAAGTGTTGACAAAACAGAGAAACTTCAGTTCCTAATGTTACTTTAAGGGTTGCTCCGGGGCTCAGCATGTGCCTCTTGATAGTTAATCAAAAATTCAGCAGTTCTGGAATCTTGTTTATCATAAACAGTGTTGTTGATGAAGTTGCTACTCACATGATAGGGGTTTTCGGGATTGTATGCTGACCCCGCAGCAGACTGCGCCCCCTCCTCTTCCTTCACGACTCTGGAGGTGTCGTCTTCTGCGTGACTCACCGGGTCCTTCTCCTCTGCAGCTGCCTCAAACTCCTCTATGTTAAACTGCCGTTTGGCTCGCTGTGCGTCTCTCTTTCTCCTCTCCCCATCTGTTCCAGCAGCCACGAGAGGCAAGAGTATTGGGTCAACATCCACAAGACGCCATACATGTCCTCAGAGCTCAATCCTACATAGCTGGAGCTGTCTCAGTTGTCCTGAATAATTAAATTAGCAGCAGTGATTTCAAGCAGTCTTGCATATTTCAAGATCATTCTTTTTTAATACAAGACCGGAGCCTTTTTTGGTGTACTCTAAATGTAGACTATGTTCGAGATGTTTCAAGTGCTTCACCAACTTCTGAGACAAGGCTGTGCATTTTACAAGTGTGTCAGCAGAAAAGCAGGGCACTCGCAACCATGCTTTGAATAAACTGTGAAAAGAATGTACAATAATCCAAATGGAATAGACCATTCTCTGTGATAACAGGCCGGTTTTATAGACTTGGAGGGATGGAGGGAATCAGTGCTTACAGCAATAGATAGAAAGAAGAGAAAGAGGGTAACCTTTAGGATAGATTGGTTGGAGCCAGTAAATGGGAAGTTCCCCGCAAAGACCCAGAATTTTATCACTCAGAAAGCTGGTGTCCTTCATCGGCTGCTCCGCAGAAACCCATATGACGAACCTCTCATCAAACCTCACTGGAATGTCTTCATCTGTCTGGCAAGAAGAAAAAGATAATGCCCTTGAATTACTAAAGATCGTAAAAGAAATGAGCAGAAGCGACGCTTGCTTTAAAGTCATTTCGTTTTCTCTTTCCAATTTGCAACGTTCTGTATCAAGTAGTGTACATATACCAGGTCAAACATCAGCGACTCTTTGTTGTGAGCTCCCATGTGGGGAAGGCTGGCTTTGATTTGGGATTTTATATAGCACTTGTCTCCTCCAAAGAAGCGGATTCCGGTTATTCCCTGCACCAAATCACAGAGATGCCATGTTTACACTCACAGCTTTGCTACTTTGCTAAGCACACAGAAAGTCTCAGCTGAACTACCTCAGGAAGAGAGAACAAGGACAAACTCACTCACAATTTGAAAGTCATGAATCTCCACAGCTTCCTCAGCTCCACTCCCGGTTTTAAATCTCTGCAGGTTGTTGTCTGAATCAATTTCCACGGAGCCCTGCCTCACCTCCCCATTGATGTTCATGCTGTAACGAACATTATAAACCTGGCAACATTCAAGGTGGAACGTTAAAGTGACTGATTAGTCAAGTTATGTAAATCACACTGTAGCAAACACAATAGATGCCGAAAAACAAGCTTCATGCAATCCCCCTGCACAGTAATTATATGTGTTGCTTCTCTTACAGAAATCCCGTGTATTTTAAGCACAGGGAGAGCTGAGCAAAGCACCACAGGAGATGCTGTTACAGACCTTGATGGGAATGTTTGCCCTACAGGTGAGCTCAATAGGACACATGAACATTATGCTATTTTATATAAGATGGAGTAGAGCAACAGGAACAATTCATGTTGTTTGTAAGTAAATTAAAGATGCAACTGCGCAGTCTTGCACTGATGATTACTGATAGGGTATCTCAGTCATTACCATAAATACCTTTTGTACAATAATGCCTATGATAGAAACATTTGTATCATCAGAGGATCTACTTTGGATCCATTTCCCACTAAAAGCATCCCAAAGCATCCTTGCATTCGCTATCTGTGATTGAAGGAGCACTGTAATAACTACAGCATAATCCTCAGTCGACACTTACATTTTTATCGCTGACTTTCCACAGGTAGAGAGCAGCCACGGATGCACACAACATCAACACTGCACCAACAATAAGAGCCACGGCTCCAAATCTCAGGAGGCGACTGCCCGCAGCACAGGCCGGCGTGCTGCTTTGCTCCTTCACGGAGTTCAGAAGATGCAAAGTCAGTAAATGACACTAAACAACAACAACTAATGCTCCTGGAAACCTTAAGAGTTTATGGAGTCTGGAGTTTTATTTACATGTCATGGATGTCAATTATATTTCTAATCAAAAAGTTATTATTAAGCCTGTCTTACCGGAGGCGTGCAGTGTTCAAAACAGCCAGATCCATGAGTGGTATTTTGGATTTTTTCCACAGTCTCTCTCATGATGTCCTCTATAATTCCCCCTCTCTAATACTGATGCTTCTCTTTGGAGGATCAGGTTATCCACCAGGAGGCTTTCTGACATTTGAGTGTGAATGACGCACAGTCAATATAAATTCTTTGAGCTAAATTCTTCGTCTGAATGTTACCTGTAGGGTCCAGTTCGCCTAAAGCAAAGTGGCCATCATGTGGTACCAAATTAAATACAGGCATTGATGTAATAGGTGGTAGAAAGACTGTTAACTGCTCTGTCAACATGCTTACAAATAAGTGAGTTACACTGAAGGTCTTTCATTTAATCACCCACCTCTTTCAATTATGCTGCAAATGTATTTAAATACTACAAATCTGCTCCACTTTCTCTCTGGTTACAGGTGTGTAAAGCACAGATTGCACTCGTCACTAGTCAAACTTGTATGCAGAAGCGAGTCCTCTTAGGTCTTTATATTCCTACATTATGCTACAAGACAGCACTGATTTGCAATGCCACGCGCAATCAGAGGCACACACGCAGACGTAACCTTTGCTTAATTATTAATTTTCAGATTCTGACAATGGGAGAAAGGTAGTTTTGTGGTCAAGGTTACTCGTTCCTTATCACAACTTGAAAAGAAGACACACAGTAAGAAAAGAGATTCAAATGTGCAGTGCTGCTGTTGCTTGGAAACAGATTGAACCACATTTTTGGATAATTGGTAAGCTGGGAGGCAATCAGAAAAGGTGAGGAGATTCTTTGACCTTCGAAAAAATATGTAATTGTGGGAGCATTTGATCAGCAATGCAGTATTTACATGCAAATTGAGGCAGCCCAGTAACTGCATTATGTTCTATGAAAAGAATATGACATTGGCTTATGCTTTCTGTCAATTTAACTGTGATCGTTGGAGGACCACATTTTATTTATTGCAGCTTATAAGCCCTGAAGGCAAATGAAATGCATTCAGTTGGCTAATTGAGGTTATTCTGTGTGCTTTTCTGAATATTTCCTCGGGACAATAGGTTGTACTCTTCCTATAAGATTACACTGGAGTCCTGTAAGACCAGATACAGCTCTTACTGTCTTACAACAGCAAAACAATTTAGCTTTTAACCATTTTATTTGTGCAACAATGTGACAAAATCTACCACAAACATGGTAATCTTTCATATTGATTGTTTTCCACAGCAGAAAGGCCCCTTTCAGCCCAAATGTCCATAGGTCATGCCCCTTAAATAGTAACACATGCTCTTGAAAATTCATAATAAAAGTCTTTTTTACATTGAATCATTATGAAAAATATATTATTAATGTACAAAATCTTGCATATTACACATGATACAATGAACAGTCGTATATGAGCCAAAAGACACATGACATACTACAAAACACTGCAACAATATGCAACATAGAGTCAATTAAGATAAAAGCACTGTACAGTATAAAGACAGGATCCCTTTTTGGTGACTTTTTTTGTGATCTTTAAGAGTTTGTGTACTCTGGAATTGACACCTCGTCTGTTTCCTGTATTCTGGCCGGCGTCGGAGGGCCGACGAGTATGTAATCAAATTCCTGATGTTGGACTTTTTCGTACACGCTTTGCAGACCATTGGTTTTGGGTAAGAGAGCTGGGTAGTAGTTTTCCCTTCCGGTGTTCCGGGGAAGTGAAGCTGTCTTGTTGAATGTTGACAGATGCGGTCCGCAGGCCATGCTCGTGTTGGGCCTTGTAGCCGAAGGGCTCCAGCATCGGTCCGAGTGTCCCAGCACTTTGCACTCGCTTGTACATGCCCAGAGACCTGTGGAAAAATGCAGTGCTGTCAGAGTGTAATACGATGCATTTGCTGGCTTACCCAGTTGAGGGTGTTTTGGTGTTGAAAGACCTCAGTGAGCTGAGGTAACATCTATCATCATGTGTCCAGTGTAGCAAAAACCACATTGCTGTAACTGGGTACAGTCTGGTACATGGCTTAGATTGAAATATATACGAAGGAAAAGGGAATACATGTCACAACACTGCTTTGATTTCACCTTTACATCCTCTCATTTGATTTAATTTGCATCCTGTCATTGAACTGAATTGAAATTTCACCCAGAGGTGGGAGGCTAAAACCCACCCCCCACTTAATTTCTTATTTATTTTTTCAGTCAAATTGAACATAAGCAAATAATGATCTAAAGATCTACTGTAAGATCTGATTACATCCTCAGAAGGTCAAAGCCATCCAAGGCACAGTACCAAAATAAAGAAGGGGGGGGGGGACCACTAGGAGCTGGCCCAGGGCCCCAAAAGTGCTAGGTCTGGCCCTGTTTATTATTATTTCCTAGTGTTTTTCTGACACTCACTGTTTGTTGGTGGCGATTCCTTTTTGTGCACATCTCCACTTATGTCAGAATCACTGTCATTGAAGTCGCTGTCCCCTTTGCCACTGTCCTTGCCGCTGATGTGAGGATCTCTCGCTGAGATGGTCGTGAATGAATTACCCTTCCATATTGTTATTGGTCTGACAGTCTCTTTCCCATATCCCGGCAGCGTGGAGTAACCCTGCTAGGACACAAACACGTTCAACACAGATTGTGAGTCTGTGATTCAAAAGGCGAACAAAGTTGGCGCAAACTTTCAACATCTCTGCAAAATAATGACTTACCTTCAATTTACCCTCCATCACCCTGCTGTTTGACTCAAAGATGCCTGCTGTCTGCCTGCCATCCTCACAGCCGGTCTCTGTTGTGTTGCTGCTGGCCAACGGAGGTTTCTCTGGAAATGGATGGGCATCAAACACTTTCCCTTTGTGGTTGGCAATCAATGAATCAACATGACCACTTTCCACTTTCTCCACATTTGGTATGTCTTCTTTTTCATCATACCCTCCCTCCCTTGTCTCTTTTTTCCGGCGGCTGCAAATGGTTGTGATGAGAATGATAGCCAGCAGGAGGAGAGAGCAGCTCCCTGCCAGGACAATGATTATGGCAATGGACATGTCCCATTCAAAGAGCTCCTCGCTGCCATTTTGAGCCAAAGAAGGCATACTGGGTAGAGTTCCTTCTATGAAGCTGAAGTGTATAATGGCTGTGGATGTGAGCGCAGGGGATCCATTGTCACTGACCGACACTGTGACTTTGACATTGTCTGTGAGATCATACGTCAGCTGTCTGCTCACGTGCACCTTCCCTGTGTCTTTGTTGATAGAGAAACCCAGGTGTCCCCCCTCGGTGATTTTATAGGACAGCTGTGCATTTATGCCTTCATCAGCATCTGTGGCCTTTATCTGGGTTACCACATAACCTGCAGGTGCATCTTTGGGCAGGAAAACCTCAGCAGATCCTTTGAAAAGGGGTGGCTCGGTGATAGAAGGTTGGTTGTCATTCTGATCAACTATTTTTAGTCTGATGACAGCTGTGCTCTGCAGCTGTGGTGACCCCCCGTCACTCGCTTGGATGTGTATGTCTAGCAGTTTCATCACTTCATAATTAAAACTCCTCAGTGCATATATGGAGCCAGACACTGCATTGAGAGACACAAAGGTGTTCACTGGGGAGCCCATGATAACACTGTCCACAAGTCTGTAAGTGATTTTGCCATTTATGCCCAGATCCGCGTCGCTGGCCTCAACTGTGGTGATGTAAGCGCCCGGGGCGTTGTTTTCCACCACTGAAACTTCATAGACAGCTTTGGTAAAGTGAGGGGCGTTGTCGTTCTCGTCGCTGAGTCTAATGGTGTACTGGGTGATCTTTCTCAGCGGAGGTGACCCAAAATCCTCAGCCATGACCGTCAAGTTATACTCACTAATCCTCTCTCTGTCTAGGACCGCAGCTGTAACTATCATGTAGCTGTCCTCGTAAGCCTGCCGGAGTTTAAAGTGGTCGTGGCCGTACAGTGTGCAGTGGACCTGGCTGTTCACACCCGAGTCTCTGTCCAAGGTGCTGATCAGCGCCACCAGACTGTCCTTGTCTGCCGCCTCGCTGATGTATGCAATGCCCGTCGTGATGGAGGTCATCGGGGTGATGCTAATTTCTGGGGCATTGTCATTAATGTCTGTGACGTGAATTATGATTTTGCACACGGAGGGGGTCGGGTTGGGTCCCAGATCGGTCGCCTGCACATCTAGCTCATATGTGCTTTTGTCCTCAAAATCCACAGGGCTCCTGAGCGTCAGGCGACCTGATTTATTATCCACTTGGAAAAGTTCTCGGATCTCATGAGAAACCTGTTTCCCGAACCCGTAGACGACCTCTCCGTTCAGACCCTCATCAGCATCAACTGCGTTTAAGTCCAGTATCACAGCGCCCACCGGTGCGTCCTCTGGTAAACTGACTGAGAAACTATTCTGGTCAAAAACAGGACTATTGTCATTAAAGTCAGTCACTTTAATAGTTATTTTTGTTGACCCTGATCTGTAAGGGTTCCCTCCGTCTGTGGCAACCAGCTCCACAGTGTATGATGACTGAGTCTCCCTGTCTAGCTCTTTCATTAGCACCAATTCCGCATATTTAACCCCATCGGCTCTCAGGAGCACATCAATGGTGAAGTGACTGTTGACAGAAATTTGATAGCTTTGGATGTAGTTTGACCCCACATCTGCGTCTGCAGCCGGGTCCAAAGGGATGCGGGAGCCCACTGCTGCGTTCTCGGAGATCTCCACTATAGATTCCTTGTTTGGAAACTCCGGAGAGTTGTCATTAATGTCCTTTATTTCCACCTCGGCGTGAATCAATTTGTAGCGGTCTTTAGAGAAATTTACCACGTCAAAAGTGATGAGACACTGTAGAGTGTGTCTGCAGATTCTCTCCCTGTCAATTCGTTCCCCGACAGTGAGTTCCCCGTCGCTTTCTCTCACCCTGATGAATGAATCATTGAATTGTTTCATCATCCTGAAATTGGTCTTGGAGGAATGAGACAGACTCAAGGACATGTCCTTGGCAAGGTTTCCGATGACTGTACCTGGTGCGTCCTCCTCATTGGTCTGGTATCGAATAGTATTTCCCTCGGACTGAGCCAGTGAGGCAAATAAAAACTGATGGATGGAGAATATAAAAATCCA